CTTTCTGTTGTAGCTGTAGCTATCCCTGCTTTTATTCAATTTTAATAGTGGAAATCATGACAGTTTTTTTTTTTTGCTCAAATTTCCAATGATTCATTATTTTATTTTTTTTAATAAGCTAATGTTTATGCACTAATTCCATTGTGTCTATATACCTTCCTTGTTTCATTTAATTTGTTCTGATTCTTCAGTTAAGTTCTATAATTGTCTGGATAAATGTTTTATTTTTACATAAAAGCACATCCAAACTTGGACCTAAATATTTAATAATCACTACCAATATTATTTGATTTTTTATTGAATTATTTTTTTTGTAATGTTGATAATTGACTGTCAGAAAATCAGTAGGGATTATTTGATTAGAATTCTGTGAATCTATAGTTTGCCATGTAGTCAATTTCACTAAACTTCATTTAATGAATTCTATGGTCTGAATATATGTATCCCTTCAAAATTTACATGTTGAAATAATAACTCTCCAAAATGTTGGAATTATAAAGTGGGTAAATGGAGTGCTCAGGTAATAGGAGGGAAGTGTTCAGGATTGGGTCAGTGTTTTCATTAAAAAGAAGACCCAGGCTCTCCCTGGTGGCTCAGTGGGTTAAAGCTCAGCACTAGGAAGCCCTCGGCAGCCATTGCAGCACCAGTTCGATACCCGGCCCATGAACTGACCCACATGGTGCCACAGACTGCTTCTGACCCATCCGCTGCTTCCCTTAGTAGTGTCTTTCAGTAGACCTGCCTGTTCTGATCCCCATTCTGTCCCTGGGGAATCCTCTCACACCCACCCATGTACCTCTACTCTGTACCCCAATTCTACTGGGGTATGCATAGATGAATCCATTTTTTAAAATCCACAGAAATTCCTTCCCCTTTCCTCCATAAGATACAGCAAAAAGCCACTGGCCAGGAATCAGGCTTTTAGCAGATGACAACCAAGCTGATATCTTGATCTTGAACTTTACAGACTCAGAACAGTGAGAAGTACATATCTGTTGTTTATAAGGTACACAGTGCATTGTATTTAGTTATTACATGTTTAGTGATAATGTATATTTAATCATTTCTGGATACATATAGTAGTCAAACTGGTGATAGTTTTGTGGTTACCAGGTAATTTAACTTAATGCTTTGTATATCTTAACTTCCTGTTTCAATTATCTGATGTTAAAATACTGGTGCCAGATTTTTTTGCTGGTCATTTGTCTACGTTATCTGTATCTTTAAATTTCAAATTTTCCTTTTACTCAAAAATTGGGTTATATTTCATATTTGTAGGTAGACTTTTAATATTTGATCTAACAAATTTTGTTTCAACTTTCATTTAGTTATTTTAGTCAATTTTCAGTGATTTTTGTTATGGATGAAATTGGTTTTATTCTATCAATTTGCTTAAGGATTTTTCTATTTATGTTTTTTACATTCATAACTTTTTATTTTTCTTATTATTTCTCCCATTGCATTTAATTGCTATTCTTACTCCCATTGTATTTAATTTCATTGCCATTATTTTTCATAGCCACCCACATTTCAAGATGATTGACCCTAAAATTAATAAACATGTTTAATGTATGTATCAAACAAAATACTTTCATTCCCAGTAACTATAAGGAATCTCTAATATTTTAATATCTGACACAATTATCAATTTATTTGTTCACAATCGCATCAAAATTACTACTCAGTTAATTTTCCTTATTACTGAAGCAGTTTCATATTGGTTCTGTTTTGACTTATGATGCCAATAAAGATAATCTCCTGTGTATATATAACACAATTAATTATGCTGTGGTTTAAAATTATATTTTCACTTTCCTAATAATGTCCAAATATAACTTACTTCAACTAAGCCTTTTATTAATAGGTCACTTTCTTCTGTTCTCCACTATAGTTATTGAGAAAATTATCACCTATCATTTTTGAATCGATGTTTTACATTTCAATTTTATTTTGATGTTTAGTAGTGTCATGACAATATGGATAATTACTTTCTATATGAATTTCATTTGTGTTCACTATAATATAGTGATTTTTATATTAAAATTATATAATGAATTATAAAAGCTAAAATATTCTCACTCAGTTTGGTTCAAGAGGTAGCTTTCACTTTTTCTTGTAAATATTTCCTTCTGGTATTTCTCTTTTCACTATAAATGTGTAAATACAGTATGATGATTTCAAATATAGCTGATTCTTGTTTTTAGTGGTAGCTGTTTTAGAAAGCCAGCACACAATGAATCTCAGAATATTGAACTACTATAGGGAAAACATATAGTTGGGCACCTTGAGTCTACGGTCACATGATTTTTATTAACTAATCAATACATAACCCTGTTTCATGTCTCTAGTCAAATATCCTTCAATGTATATTGTTTATTAATTAACATTGAATTCACCTTTTTTTTTTTTAAAGATTTATTTGTGCATACAGAACTGGGGTACAGACCAGAGGCTCAGGGGCGGTGAGAGGCTTCACCAGAGACAGAGTAAGGAGCAGAACAGGCAGATCGACGAAGTACACTGCTGAGGGAGCAGCGGGCGGGTCAGGAGAGGTCTGCCACGCCATGTGGTCACCTCCGGGGCAGGCAGGAATAGAACTCATGTGGAAGCGGCTTTAGATTCTCAGTGCTGTGCTTTAACCCGCTGCGCCACCAGGTAGGGCCTGAATTCACCTTTAAGGAACACAACTCAGGCCTAAATGAAGCTTATCTCACCTAACCTCCTTGAACTTAGGAAGAGTAGGCTACATTTCACCACTCTGGTGGGGGCCACTTTAAACAGATAATTGTCCAAAAGAGCACAAAACTCCAAAACAAACCCAGACTGACTCAATATACCATGAAGAGAACACTTGTTTACAGTATGAAAGATGAAACAAGGTAGCTGTTGTCTCTATTTTCAACCCTCCCTGCGAATATGCATGTCCAGAGACAAGTTTTTAACACTCTCTCTGTTTCTGTGAATGACCACAAATGTGTTAAGGATATTGATTTTGTGGTTTTAAACTAGTTTAAGTGGGTGAGAGAATTTTCACATACAGAATTCACATACAAAAAGAGAATCAACAATAATCAATTTCTTTACAGCAAACAATGAAAAGAATAATTTCAACAATAGCTACATGAAAACAAAATTATCTGGCAATTATAATGTACAGTCAAAATGGCCAGATATAAATAGTGAGTATGATCTATTTACATAAATCATGTTTACAATTGGGCAATGCTTATTTTGGTATCAGAAATCTAAATAGCTATTGCTTTTGGATAGGTAGGACTAGAAGAGTAATAAAATACTCCTAAAATATTTATTATTTAAATAACAATGTCACAAGGAGAATAGATTTGCCTAGATTGATGCCCAGCTTTTTAAGCCTGGTCTAAATCTAGTAGTCTCAAAGACTACTAGATGTGGTAAATATACTGAATAAAATGTATTTTAACATTAGGTATGAAGTAATTAGGTTGCGTATATATGAGAAACTTGTAACTCTGGAGGCCTTGATTTACCAGTAGAACAGTTATTCACCTTTTACTCATGACTGTACTACATATCCTCATGTAAGTAATTGAACTATTAGACTGCATCTTCACTGAAAATTTGCTATAATATAGGTACCAGCTAGAGTTTCCGAAAAGAAAACTCTATTATTTTATCTGTGATAGATAGAAATCCAATAATATATATAGGATGAATAGATGAATGGATGAATTTAGATGAAGTTGTTAAACTTTTAATATGACAAATGTTAACTTTGAACATCTTGGGTTTTGTGTCTTTAGCCAGTAATCAATATTAGAGGAACTGACGTCTATTTCAATATTCAATTTCAGAGCAGTGATAATGTAAAAAAGTCCTTTGTAAACTATAAGGAATATTTACTTTTCAGTGTCTTCCAGAAATTTGGTAGTAAACAGAGATACAGCACTTCCATGTGTCATCATCTCTATAAATGCTTTAACTACATTAGTTGACCTAATCCTTAACGTAATTTTATGAGATCTGTGGAAGTATTAAAGCTATTTTGTTTGTTTCCTGTGAACTAATCATGAAAAGTCTAGTAATTAGGCCACAGTGCCTAGACTCAAGTCCTGCACTGATCCTTGCTACTGTGCAACTGAGCTTTAGTAGATTGGTCATGTTGGGCCACTTTGGAGAAAGCAGACAATGAAACTTGATGGTTCAATCCAGAATGTTTTTTCTTCACCATAGTCACAGCAACATGGAAACTATGACAATGTTTGTTAGAGATGTTTTCTTTCATTGACTTATTACAAACCACTTTCATTGACTGATTACATATCACTGCAATAAAATTTACTTTTATTTAAATAAGTAAAACTATCATCTCCAGTTTTGTTGACAATCCAATGTGTAGGATCAAACACTGCTTCTAGTATCATAACGAGGGATACTATACTAAGTCTTTGACTAGGATTCTCCTTGCTCTAGACAGATAAATAGCTCTGAAGGGTTCAAGTCATGTTCCTATTATGATATGTCAATGGAACCCTAAGCTTTTGGAATAAAAGACATTCAAATTCCTCATCAGTGGGCCCTCCCTGGAGATACAGCAGGATTAAAGCACAGCACTGAGAAGTTAAAGCCACTTCAGCATGAATTAAATCCCGCCCTAGAGGTGAACCACATGGTGTGGCAGACCTCTCCTGACCTTTCCGCTGCTCCCCTCAGCAGTGTACTTCAGTCGGACTGTTCTGCTCACCACTCTCTCTGGTGAATCCTCTCACCCCCCCTGCACTTCTGGCCTTTACCCCAACTCTGTATGCATAAATAAATAAATCTTAAAAAAAAAATCTTCCTCAGTTTATTGTGTTGAAGTAGCAAAAAGATGAGTTTGCATAAAATGCATGTTTTCCAGTTATCAAAGTGATGATACAAGTTATCAATAACAATCAAATAGCAATGTATACATAACTAGGTAAAGGCTATAATATTAAAGTAGGTGTGTTTTTAAACTCAAAAGTGAGATTAGCTCATACCTGAATAACTTTTTGGGACTGCACATCCACAATAAGGACTCTGTTCAAAGTCGGCTGTGCAACATATATGAACTTGTCTTTGACATTTACAGCTGAGGCCCACACACACCTCTGAACTTCATCTTCCTCAGCTTTAGGACAGACTTCATCCTGCAATAAAATGAAGATCTTAAATTGTGATATGGGCATGAACATATTATGTGTAAAGCCAGTATTATACCTTTAGCATCAAAAGCTGTATATATGTATACATATATGATTGTATATATGTATATAGATATATAATGTTAAATTAAAAAAAACTATATATAGCATTATAGAACATGTTTGATATATATGTATGTGTCTCTGTATATATATATACATACATATGGAGAATTAGAAACTTAGAAAAATATAATACAATTGGTCAAAATTATTTCATTTTCAATTTAATGTCTAGGTTAAATATTATTAAATACTTCAATTTTCCCAATTTACTATTTTCTCCTAGAAATACCTTCTGGTTGAATATTGCATCATTTTTGCTAGATGACCATAAATAAGGCAAAACATACTATTTTCTCCTTCCCTGCATTTTGTCGATAAGTGAATGTTGATGTGATACCTAAGCCTTGTGATTTGTGTTGGGAGTAACACCACAAACTGAAGTGCCATGAAGCTCAGATTTGTTCAGATTTTTCTTTCTCCACAGATGTTGGTTTTGTAATTCTTTTCATTTACTTATAGTTAGAAAAACTAGTATAAATTTTTCACTGTGCATAAAAGATAAGTGTAATAATAAACCCTAATTTAATGGCAATGGTATAATAACAAGCATTGACTTCTTTCACTTGCTTTCTGATTTAGGTAATGACACGGATAACTTTTGCCTAATTTATTACTTTTTTACTCTAGTAGTAACTCTGATCTAATTTAGAATATTTACTCTCTTCACTAATTCAAGCACAATTGTCATTTTTCAATGGAGGTTCCATTCACCAGTTGTTTTTAAAAATCATGAAACAAAATTCAATGTTATAATGATCAGCATTATGATGTAGTCCTTTAATTTAAATAAAATACCAATAATGGATAAATCAATTTTGCATTTTAGTAGTTAATGTCACAATAACAACCTCTTAAAACAACCATAACGATTGATTTTCCTATTTTCATAAAATCTGGAAAAAATATAAAAACTAGTATACTTTAAAAGGAGTTGCTTGGTGGGTGGTTGCTGTTTTTTGTCCTTCAAACTTCAGATCTTTTAGGGAAAACCTGGGATGCCTAGTAATTTTTTAAGATCCTGTCCAAAAGTTAATAGGTTCAGCACAAATGCCCAAAAGGCATAATGATACTGCTCTTCTTTGAGCTGAACAGATTGTTCCAAGCTTCCAGGATACAGGCTTAAGGACCTAAAAAGTTGGCATGCAGATGTACTCCTGCCTCTTCTGAAGGTGTGAAGTTAACTTCATTCCAAAGGATGTACCCTAATCATGACCCAGTGGGTCATCCTATTTAATATGGATGACACATTTAAACAGTGAACAGACAAAGGCAGAAGTTGTCTTTAGTATTATACTTTCATTCATGGATTCCTATTGAAACATTATTTTCTACGTCAGACTTTATTTTCGAAGTATTAGGACTCTGAATATATTTGACAAGAACTTATTTTGTGAGACTCAAACACCATAAAAAAAATGTACTCGATAAGCATGGGCACTTGGGAGAAGTGGGACGAAAGGCTTGGAATGTAGGGAAACTGTTTATAAACTCTTTGCTGTTATGTAAAAGCCACCAACAAAATCTGCCAAATAACAGAAAGTGTGAGTGACCTGACGCATTACTGTCAGCCAAACAACTGCTGAACCAGGAACAATTTCCACCCTTTTGTTTGCTACAAAACTATTCAACAGTAAAATAAACTACTCTGTTGGGAATTATTTGCCATTTGTATGCTGTCCCAATAGATGTTCCTGGCCAGACTCACAATCATTTTCACAAAACCATTAAAAGTTTCCTGACAGTCACCCTGAATTTTCTTCGCTTCACTTCATGCCATTATTTTTGATTATAGTCTATTAGGACTCATTTTACAATAGCACTCTTATTTTTTCAGATTATATAGATTAATGCTTATTTTTATGGTTAGGAATTGTAGAGGAATCTTTTTCACATGCATTAGGCATTTAATGGGATAAAAGAGAAACAGAAAAAATACCAAAGATGAAAAATAATATAATACATATGGATAATGCAAGTTGTTAAGAATTATGTCAAGATTATCGTAAAATGACATTTTATAGAATGTGTCCCACTATGTAAAGTGAAAGGAACTAAAATGTTAGAATTCTTGGGTATCAGTAAGAAAAACAATTATTGTTCATAAATAAAGCCTCTCTGTTTCTTTTCGTTATTTTATAGCTAATTATATAACACATGTGTATGTATCATCCTCTTCCAAATTTTAAAGTACATGTATGTTAGTAGAGATTATGTAAGTTTTGATTTAACAATTAAAACAATATTCATGAAGCCTAACTTAATGAACATAAATTAGATTGCTTTCATCTTTTATTTAAAACTGGCATTTCTACAATTATATCAATTACATATTAAAAACTCGTTGCCCTCAAATCTCCAAATCCCTATCTAGCTTTCCTCATCTTTCTCAAGTTCTCCTTTTAAAACATTCTGCATCATGTGTCAAATCACCTCCATTTTCCTTGTATCCAACTTTTAATCCCATTGTCTGATTCTTTTCTGAAATCATAAACATGACAGTATCCTCTGCCTTCAGAAATATTTACTCCGTATTTAGTTTAAAATTTTAATTATGACTCCAAACATAAAATAGATATATCTGTCTATAACTTAACAATAACATCAATATTAGCATGATTTAGCTGCATTCTTTTCCGATCATCCAGTCTATTCTCATCATAGTTTTAAAGAAGCTGTCTAAAATTTTCAAATCACTTCCTTCTCTTTCATTCAAATCTATTCATATTTGAAAATGTCTTTAGTAATCTTTAAATGGGGTCTACCTTTGGCCTAGGAGTTAAAGATACAGCACTATGAAGCTATCTCAGCCACTGCAACATGAGTTCGATGGGAGGTCAGGGAGGAACCCACATGGGCCAGGAGATCTCTACTGCTCACCTGCAGCTACCTTCACCTGTGTATTTCAATACATCTGCCTATTCTGCTCCCCCATTCTGTCTCTGGTGAATTCCTTGATTCCCCCAAATATCTCTGGGTTACATCCCAGTTCTTTCGTGCATACATAAAAATAAATCTTTAAAATATAATTGAATATTTAACAATTAATAAAGTTAAATTGAAGTCATTAATTTACTCTATAGTTTTGTTTCCTAAATCACCTCTCAAATAATCCAAACTGACATGTTAACTAGCTGAAATATGAAATGGTATTAAGGAAATTGAACAGACTTTATGTTAAATTGCAACTACTGACAACAATTTTGACAGCCACTATTGAAATAAAAATTATAAGCAATGAGAAATCAAGCAAAAGTTATGAAAATTAATATTAAATGTTTAAAAAAGTTCAATAATATTAGGACTAAAACTGGAGTACATATTTAAAATTATAAATCCCATTCACAAAAATCATATATATATATATATATATATATATGCTTAATTTTTAATATATTTAGAATAAAAAAAATGTTAGAAGAAGCCATAAGTAAAACTAAAACCTTTTGTAAAGGAACACAAATAGGAAATATCTAATTTTGATAAATCAAAAAATATTACTGCTAGCACATTGTTTAGAGTCACTGAACATATTTGATTATATAAGTATATCTAGGGGCAGGGACCATGCAATAAGAAACTGCTTATTAGCATAAGCTTTTTTTGTATTATTTTATTTTTATTGTGTTGCTATTACTTTGAAAAAATAAACAGGTACATTTTTGTGGATACAGAAGTTTTGAATGGGAAAATGTATCTTAAATTCATATGAGATAGTCATATGTGATTTTATGAGATAGTCATATGTGATTTTGTGTCAAGTAAAAAAAGTTTCATATGTAAACATACTTGTATCAATATTTTTGTTTAATTTTTTCAATTTATCCTTAAAAAGCATCTATTGAAAAATCTAAATTATAAACACATTCCCTTCTCAAGTGAATAGAGTACACTCATTTTTATAGTGAGTCCTTAGTAATCATATAACAAATGTTTTTTAAATGATGGCAGTTGATTGCTGAAGATGTATCAGTCTACTCATATTCATCCAACTAAGTTCCTTAGTCCTTATCAGTAATCTTTGGAAAAGACAAATTTTCTTAGATAAAATTGTTTGATCCAATTAATCAGGCATACAACACCATTACAAGTCTCTTGCACAACCTACATGCTTTTCCCTCTGGTTCCCTCAATGTTACACTTATATATCAAAAACCTAAAGAAACACAATGTGAACATTTTGAAACAGTGTGATTTTTAATGAAGGATTAGATGGCTCTTTTTTTCAACTTCAGAGCTTTAAAAACCAAAAAACCAATTTCATAAATTTATTTATTTTAAAATCTACAGCATAATCTTCTAAGGAATAGTTAAAGGGAGTTTACATTACTTCTCCTTAGGAAGCTCTTGGCAGGATATCATTGCACCACAAAGGGACAAAAGCTTAAATTTTCATCATTCTATAACCCTTTGTAACTTAAGCCATGTTTGAATAAGGACCCTCTGAGAGAAGAATAAGTGGGGAAACATTTCGATTACCTTTCTGGAAAATACAGTGGGTATTAAATTCAAAAGGTTTTGCAATGGCTTCCTAGGGAAATCAATTGTCAGTGTCAGATAAAAAAGACTGGTGTTTCAAGTATCTTTGTGGACAGACTTTGGAGAAGTAGTAATTGGATTAGAAACAGAATGACATGATGAAAAGGGAAATTTGGAGTTCTAACTAAAGGAATTGATGTATGCCCCTAAACTATACTGCTTGTGGTGAGGGGGCCACCAGCGGAAAGAAAAATGTGGACTCTGTGTGCCACATTTATAATCTCAGTTTAAATTTGATGCTTAAATATTCTAGACACTATAAAATTCTATTTCAACATATGCAGTTCACCCTAAGAGATCACTACCATTATTGGTTTATAATTGTAAAATAGTTACAGTATTTGGAAATGACAAACTAGGAAACAGACATTTTGGAGGTGATTCACATCAGATTTCCTGTAGAAAGTACATTCTATGCATAAGACCTGGTCTTTTAGCATCCATGAAAAAATAAGTAATACCTTGGTATGGATAAAGAGTTGCAGCCAGATCTATAATAAGCCAATACAGAAATAGCTGAATTTAAATGTATTGAAGATTTAAACAGTGGTCATTGAGGATGGAACTATATTTGAAAATCAGAACAGAAAGAAAGTTGGTTACCTTTTTCTTCCTTGAACCTATAATTTAAACATTTTGCCAAACCTATTTCAGTTTGAGTTCTGAATTCATAAGTCTGGAATAGAATTCAATTTGCTTGAAGTTCAGGCTGTTCATATTGAGACAAGATGAAACCATGTGTACAACTAAGATAAATATACCAAAAATCCCATCTAGTAAGGATACATAACAAAATGGAAAAAAAAAAAACATGAAAGTATAACATAAAAGTATGTTGTATGAACACTCACTAGCTCACTATCAAAACTTCAGACCTGATACAATCTGACATTGTACCAAAATTGAATTTTTATTTAGAGCAAGCAAAAAGTATCTTGTGAGAGGTTTGATGGAATATTTTATATTCTAAATATTTCAGCTTTTATCTAAACTTTATGGGCCAATGAGTTATATTGGGGCATTCATTGTAATTCCCTTAATATCAATGGTGACTTTGAAAAATACTCTATGTATTTTTAATCCCTCTTTGTGGGAAAAAAATGATTCCAAAATACTCATTTTCATTACCTGCACTCAAGAGATTTATCTTCTAAAACCCAGATGAGCTAGTTCTTTTTTTTTCTATAATAGAACTCAACTATCTATATATGGCATCTGTTCTGTACATTTTGACTATATGTTTCTGAATAATGAACTCAAGAGGTTATATTTACCCTGAAACAATTCAATGATAAATTACTCCGTGAAACATTTCTCACAAATGCATTAAAAGAGAACACTGTTTTGTCAGAATGCTAAAGTAATAAAAAATGGTACAATGAAGAGTAAATTAGATGTATAGTTCTTTAAATATAGAGAACACCTAAAAGAATAAATAGTCCAAAGCTCTAAGCAATGGGATTTTTCATTAAATTTCACTGAATTCATTAAATTTCATTAAATTTATTTAATATATGTATGTGTAAGGCATTGTGCTAAGCATGTTTGGAATATAAACACTAATTAAATGATTATTAAACAAGAATGTAAGATACGATAATTAATTGTAAAGTTCAACTAGATTATGATGCCCAGTTGTTTGGCCAAGCACTGGTCTAAAAATTATTGTAAATGTGTTTGTGGGCGGGAATAACATTTGCAATTAATTGACTTTAAATAAAAAAGATGGCCCTGGTAATGTGTACTGTTAAAAATATAAACCTGGTGGCCCTCCCTGGTGGCACAGTGGGTTAAAGCACAGCACTAAGAAGCTAAAGCGACTTCAGCATGAGTTCGATTCCCGTCTCCCCTGGAGGTTAGCCACATGGCGCAACAGACCTCTCCTGACCGGCCCACTGCTCCCCTCCGCAGTGTACTTCATAAGTCGGCCTGTTCTGCTCCCCACTCTGCCTCTGGTGAATCCTCTCACTGTCCCTGCACCTCTGGCCTGTACCCCAGTTCTGTATGCATAAATAAATAAATCTTAAAAAATACAAATCTGGTTTTTCTTCTTCTATTCACTTAATCTTCCATAAGAATATAGAAACATATATATTTGTGTTGTATATAATATAGCAATGGTAACTTTTCATACTTTTATTTATTTATTTTTTTAAGATGTATATATTCATGCTTACAATTGGGTTTTAAGCTGTAGTTAACAGGTGGCAGGGAGGGTGAGAGGATTCACCAGAGACAAATGGGGAGGAGAACACCCAGATTGAGTGAAATCACTGCTGATGGGAGCAGGGGTTGAGAGAAGAGAGATCTGCGCATCATGTGGGTCAGCTCCAGACCCAGGGGATCAAACTCATCCTGTATTGGCTGGCTATAGTGTTGAGAATTAACCCCTTGTTCTACCAGGGAAGCCTCTTATTTCTTTACATTTTGCTGCATGCCTACCTAGCATACTCCCATAGATAGGATGACTATAAATGTCTGTGGGATATGATGTGGAAAATTTGAGGCAGTAAAGTAGTCCTTAATAACTAATTATTCCTGTTTGTCATTGCTGAAGTGTGGTCATGGATAATGGTTCTCAGTTTGAAGGAACTGAGTTAAGCTGTCAGCAATATTGATCACTTTCTACCTCCTCTTCAATTTTAGTTTTACAGAAAATTTTGCATAACTCATAAGTGTATGCAAATAATTTCCACATACATCTAGAAATATATGGAAAGATGAATATACATGACTGAATAGCTTCTACTTTAGCTGGAGAAAGTATAACAACTCCAAGGTTGTAAAGAACATGAAATTCAGGTAAGTAAACTTCCTATCTTCCAGACATGTCACAAAAACTGTCACCTTGTGTCAGCTTGTATTTTAGATTTAGATTATAAATAACTGTATTAATATATCCAGACCTATTAAAATAAGCACATTTTTTAAAAGATGAGTCAAACAGCATAGAATCATTTATTGATACTCTGGCATAGTATCCATGTAATGAAGCAAAAATAAACCTTTGCCTCAAAATGAAAAATATGAATTTCAAAGGTTATCTTACTAGAATTAATAACTGATGTTGGAAATTAACTGGTGTAATCAACACAGTTGTATCAGCTACAAATCTACTGGCCCTATAGAAAGCAGGGGAACACTAAAACAAGCTTTGATTTAGACAGTCATTTGACACCATACTTTCTATAATTGTATGTTTCCCCAGGTACTGACTGTTTTTAGCATGTTAAAAGGACAGGTTTATTACAGAAAGAAAAGAAGATGTTCAGAGCTGCCTCATCTGTGTTTTATAAGAATATATGCTATGGAATTGAATGATTTGCTTTATCAGAAGTATTTATATTTTTATGTTTTTGATTTACATACATAAACATCTTATTCAAAATGTATCCAGTTAGTATTGATATTATTTGATCTTAAAGTAAAGCCCGCACATATTATTTTAAAACACTTTTGTACTTGTAGTTCATCTATAACATACCAAATGGTAGCAATTTTATTAAGTAAGATAGCCTAATACTGAAGTATTTTAAATTTGAAATGGCTTCAATTGTTTTAAGCAATCAGGATATATTGAGCTAGATTATTTTCTTTATTTAAAATTAAAGGTCATTAGGATTTTGTCCTACAGGATATCTGGAGGAAAGATAATCATTTCACATTTATTACTTCACTAGTAATATTTTTTTTCTCTCATTACAAAGCATGGTTTTAAGCTATAAAATACAGGACCCATATATTAAATTATATGATGATAATACTGGCTATGGCTAGGCTTTAAATATAATTAAAACTAAAGTATATAAATTAAGATTTTAACATGTTTTTACTCATAATCATTGTCATGCCACCTTAAATATTAAGAATGGATGCCATGAAGAGAGCTTTCAATAGCTTATTTTGTGTGTTTGGTGTGTTTCCGAACTTGTGGGAACACATAGGTAATATCAATAATTGCTTTATTACACTATTATTATACACATACTTATGTCTACTTATGACAGTATATGTAATCATAGCAATATAAAAATATCTTGTTATTTTACAGGAAATATGTTTTTTAATATCTGTAACCAACACTCTTTGTCAAGGGCTCTTTTCTAAAACTACAGAAAAAATAGTTCTGGAAAGGTAAGGTGTATACAATTAGATAAAATCTATTTTCCCACATAAATCTAAACCATTTATTCCATTTATATCTCATGAAAAATCAGATGAAGAATAAATAGGAATTGACCCTTATAAAGCCTCCAATCTACCCAAATATTCTGTCATATGTTTACATGCTATTATGTTTCATTTGTTTAAGTAATCATTATCTACCAAAATAAGAGATAGTCTAAATTGAGAAGCAAGTAATTTTGTGTTTATTTGGTAATTCACTTCTATTGCTTTAATTTTAATTCCAAACAATTCATTAGAAACACATAATATATTATTCCCTTCTCAAATATAGAACCATAATAGCAATAACTAAATAACTAATAATGTAGTTTTGTATTTTCTTCCCAGTACACATTTCATATATGTACATATTGCCTTGCATTTCCAAAATAGAGTTCTTTTTAACAAAACAGTTTCATAAAACTGCAAAGGAAGTTTTAAACACTTGCCTGAAACCCAAGGAGCTTTTCACTGGGTTTAATGTGTCTCTGAAATTCACATTCAATAGGCTGAATCACTTTTATTCCGTCTTCATAAAAAACATAGAACATGTTCCCAATTCCAAGACCTTAGGAATAAAAACACATTCAAAAGTTCAACATGAAATTATCACCCCTCAGCAATGTATTTCAGTCAATCTGCCTGTTCTGCTCCCTGCTCTGTCTCTGGTGAATCCTGGACTGCATCTCTGGACTGTAGCCCAGTTCTTGTATGCATAAATAAATATATATTTTTAAAGAAATTAATGCCATACTAATGTAAGTGACTCTTTATGTGTCATAATTTTCTTATATCAGATTTGCAGTGATAATTATACCTATTTTGCACAGATCATGTAATAACTGAGTGAAATGGAGAAAGGAAAATTTTGACAGAATGACGGGCAAGAGTAAGATTTCAAAAATGGTAACTATCACTTTTAATCACTGATATTTCTTCCTTAAAACATTCATGGGAAAAATTTATAAAATGTGCAGTATATGATCAGAGCATGGTTACTTTGCTAATGTTTCCCTCATATCTAGCCTGTATAATAAAAATATATTTCTCTATGATGCCAGAGTTCAGTGAATCCATGATCAAGTTGATTTTCTCGTAGACCATGTCTGAAGGTTGAACTTTTCAGTGGTGTTGGCAAGTCCAAATTATTTTATAGCAATACCAGGATGTCATCTGCATTTCCCTCTCCTTATCTGGCCAGTTAGGTTACTGTAAGTGTAGAATACAGTTTTTGGCAAGCAGGCATATGATGTCAATAGTGGAATTGTAATGATTCAGTACAAAAACAAATACAGGAATCCAGAATCTTGGATCTATCAGATATTAACATATTTGCAACATGAGAAAACAACAGTAAGTTTCCTCATTTCTTAAAAAGGTATCCTCAAAAATAATGTGTTATCGGGCCCTCCCTGGTGGTGCAGCAGGTTAAAGCACAGTACTAAGAATGGAAAGCCATTTCCACATGAGTTTCATCCCCTCCTGCCACGAAGGAGATCCAATTGGCGCGGCAGACCTCTCCTGAACCGCCCACTGCTCCCCTCAGCAGTGAACGTCCTCCACCTGCCTGTTCTGCTCCCCACTCTGTCTCTGGTGAATCTTCTCGCCGCCCCTGAGCCTCTGGCCTGTACCCCAGTCATGTATGCACAAATAAATAAATCTTTAAAAAAATAATAATGTGTTATCTATGGCTATATGTGACATTTATCATGGTTATTTTAAATAAATTGATGAATATGTATTATTTCTGAGTTATGGTTAATATGGTTTAAACCATATGTATTAGTTTAATATGGTTAAGGTAACTAAGTAGATATAATCCACATAAACAAAAGCTTTCTCACTACTAAGAAGTATATGAAGGGGACGTGAGTTCTAAAAGAAATACTTCACATAAGCAAAAAGTTATCAATAATATTGAAAAGTTTAAAAGGAGGGTGCTAGATTCCAAAATGTATTAGTCATGTATGTTCAAATTATAATTCTTTTCTCATGAATGTTTTGCTCTGTGATATATTATAAAAGTTATTACCATCAGTGAAAGCTTCACCACTTTAGTTTTAGTAAATTTTGTAAATATGTAGGTACATTTTTCTCTTTCTTCATTCCCTGGCAAAGAGAGACAATAGTACATAGTCTTTTCCAGATTGATTGTTAACCTAATGGAGCACGGTAGCACTAGAAAGTGATTCTTAATTTGTTTCCTGTCTATGAGTTCTATTTTTTGCTGCGTTCCTTTCTCTATAAGTAGAATTATAAGCAGTCTCTTTAAAGTATTCCCCAGAGGATGCTTTAATCAATACTGCACCTTAAATACATGGAACAGATTGAGAAAAAGATGCATATAATATACATTCACTCACTCCTTTGAGAACAGGAAGCTGCTCAAAAATAATACTGGTATTGCTGTATAATAGCAATATACGATTTATAACATGTAATATATATAATTATACCAATAGTAAAATTTGGTTAAAGTTCATAAATAGAAGGATATTTAAGTCAGAAGAGATTTTGTGATGATGTTTGCCTTCCCCATTGAAATTATCAGTATTTTACCATTGAAATTGTGTAATTTTACAATACAGTGATTTGATAACAAATCAAGATGGTTCAGTGGGTTTTGCTGTTAAAAGTCTTTCATTGGTTGATACGTCTTTATATAACATAAAATGACATAAACTCCTTAATTATTTGTTTTAATCAAAAGAACAATTAAGTTAAATCAAATAAGAACTCCCAAAATGTTAGCAACTAAATAAGCATAGTTAAATCTTATTAGAATATAATCAATTACCAGATCATAAAAATATTGTAGAACAAAACCATTCATATTGAATGGCTCAACATATTTCTTATATATGCTTTTGAAATAGATAACCTTGGCTTACAATAATGCATGTAATTCACAGGTATAGATTCACAACTTTTCAGATTTATTTGCCATATTGCATCCACACCAAGGTACCCAGAGTCCTCCACCATAATATGTTTTGAAATTACATAGTAAACTTAGTTGTCAGTGGAATGATTATGTTTTTAATCCACTAGACTAAAAGGTTTTTTGATCAATATTAGATTTTATTTATCACTACATTTCCAGTACTTTAAAAATGTTTTACATCTAATAGTCTCAAAAAATATGTGTCAATACATGAGATATTTATTTTAACATTGTCATTCCATACCCTGTGAACTAAAATCATTCCTGGAAAAAATCTGAATGTAAAACACACAGAGGGATGTTGTTTCAAGCATAAATATCCATGTAGTGACTAAAATAATGTATATTAAATTCAATGAAATGGAATCAGATTACAAATTTATGGCTAGCTACATTTTAATACACATATTTGGAAAATGTTTCAGTTAAACAAAATATCATAATTTGCACAGACATAGAGAATAATGTACAATTACAAGAGGCATTTTCATTTTGAATTCTTTCTATTTTGACATTAAAGTTTCTGACTTCTGCATTGGTTTTCTGTGAATAAATTTTCTCGTAACCATGAAGAAAGAGGCAAGAATATATCAGAAAACACAGCTACAGCGTAAATAACATGGACCTCAGAAATATGTAGTTGATATTTGTTATCCTATCTTTGAAATATAGAGGCAGAAATGCACTTTGGCAGCTCCAGACAGTTAATATTTTAATTACATTTAATGAAGTAATTGTACACTCTGTTAGGGTTTGGTGATTTCTCAAGCAGCTCTATTATTACTGGCCACCATTATTATTATTAAATGCAATCACTTTCAATTGTAATTCCTTGCCAATTATGGTGGCATTATAAAAAATAAATTGCAGATGCCTCTGAAACTTAGTCAAGTACATTATTTTTCTCAAATACATCTTGTTTACCACAACAAATAACAAAGAACTCTGATGACAATTAGATATGTATCCTAAAACTATCTGCAAATATGTACTAAATAGTCATATTTCTTAAGCATATATTCTGTGTCAAAATCATGAAGAATAAGAAGGTCATTGATTGGTGGAGAATAACTATTGAGAATATACATTTCTCAAAACTAAAAAAAAATGTTAAAAAGAGTTGCTTTATGTAATGAATTTCAGTAAGATCTCAAATAAACTGAAAGTCTCCAATACTTCTGACAGAAGTCTGAAAAATGTTAAATTGATACTACAAATAAATAATTATTACAAGCAACTTTAATGGTATATGTCAAACAAAGTTCAATCATAAGGAGGAATTGTTTACTAACTTTAAATAGCTTTATCTATCGTAGATTCATAAAGTCTTAACTTTATTTCAAACATTAAAAAATATTTAGGGGGTAAAAAATGCATGTTTTTTTATAGTGAGGTAAGATAACTCATCCAATTTTCAATAAATTACCGAATCCAGAAGTTAATCTGCAACATCAAATCTTCAGTAATTGACTTCTGATGTTTTGTCTTTCCATTAAAACAAGAGAAATGAATCTTGTATATGTACATGTAAAGATTTGTTTCCTCTCACCCAGAAAAACAGTATGAAGAAATGGTGAACAAATGTCAGTGCAATGACTGTACTTTCACATTTAAATGTGAAAATATCCAAGGCTAATAAAATGAGAGGTAGCTATATGAGAACCTCCTCAATAAAACAGCACTCAAAGAGTTTTAAACAAAAGAGTAAATGAGCAAGAAATACCAATGGTGTGTGCGGTTACCAACATTGTGTATAACTCATCATTGAGAACAAAATTGAAATGGAAAAGTGTTAAACTTTCTTAAAGCTTCTGAAACACAGCCCCCACAGGTAACAGGTCTCCAATTCAGTAATAATTGAGGACTATAAATTTCCTCTAGGTTGAACTGTGGATGCAAGCATTTGGTCATTGTTCACTGGATGGTATGATGACACATTATTGACATGTTTCTCTTAAGAATTTAAATAAAGCATGAAAGAGTTAGGTACTTGATCAGACACGTTCTTTATGAATGATGTGATAAGAAAAACAATTAAAGCAACAATAATGATGAGAGCGGATACTAGTCATTGAGTGGGCTACCCTTACTGAACTGAACAACTATTCTTATAGCTAAGAGTAAAAAAAAAAAAAAAAAAAGACAGAAGAGGACCAAGGTTATATAATAATGGATATGGATATAGTGGACTTGAATATAGCCATTTCCCTAAATAATTTATTATTTTGCCTTCCTAAAACAATATTTATATAACATTCCTTTTTCAAGGTGATTATGCAATTGCTTAATAAAATTATAATTTGTTTAATAAAATTAACTTTTTAAAATAAAATAATCATTTATTTATTTGAATTCATTATGCTCTGAAAGGTATTTCAATCAATACATTGTAATGTAACATTGTGTTCATATGTCAATAATGAATCATCTGGTGCGAAATAATAAGCATTATTCTGGTAAATGATATATAAGATTATTGAAATGTAATAAAAATGGTAAATCAAGACAAAGACAAATGCTAATTTAAAAGCTGATAGGAATAAATCTACTAAAATTAAACAAAATAATCACAACAACATAAAAAATAATGAAATTTAGTACCTTCTTCTCTCCATAATATGTTAGCTACTGCAGCATGTTAAAAAAAAAAAGGAAAAAAGGAAAAGAGAATTTCAGTTGCATAATAATATAAATACTTATTAGAGAGGTTAAAATCACTATTGTAAAACATGCACCAAAAAATAGTGACAGTGAATTCAACAAATTACTTTAAATTAACAAAACAGTAACATGCTAGAACTAACTAATAATGTTCTGCTGGTCTTTTGAAACAGAACATTATCTGTTTCAAATAATGGAATCAAGATTGTGTTAATAAACAAATACCATTTTATGCTTCACTGAAAAGAATGGGATATTTAAGTTCATTTTCTTGAATTGCATCCCTAGAACAGGCTTTGATAGTTAAAACAATTTATTTATTTGACAGTATAGTTAAAAGTTGTTAATAGAAAATGTTACATTTTTAGAATTCTCAATAAGCACAATATGCAGTATTCTTATACAATACAATATTCCTGAACAAGGAGAGTTCTTGTAAATACAGGATTTCAGATGTAGAAGTAATCGATTTGTAAGCAGAAAATGCTTTCTACCTTTAAACCGGAAGGGATAAAGCTACATTTAAATAGCTCTTCCTTATTTAAGTGCTTTGTTTTTGATAAAAATTAGCATGATTCTTACATTGCTCCATAGAACTACTGGCCATGATGTTGCTTGATATTAAATTTCTAATCTTTCAGGAGTGTAAAACTTTTTCTGTGGAGACACTGTCATTAATGCTCTTAAATGCCTGTAAATGCAATTGAAACTGCAATTTTTTTTTTCATCAGGTAAGAAAGGGGAAATCAAAGCATAAAGGAATGTCATTAATGTCTAACACTGGGCAAAGAAACCAAAAAGATGCCCAATGTTGCGAATTAAAATTAGGAATTTAGAATCACTGTCCATATGGTGTGAGCACATTGCTCTACAACATTACTGCTGCTATTACAAGTTGGATCACTACTTCATAGAGTTAAGAGAAACAAATGCTAGTAAATTGTAAAACAAGTAAACTGCTCTTTCTTCTCTGTCCCTTCCTTTCCACTTTCCTTTTCTTTCCCATCCCCTCACAATACCAATTCTGTAACAACGAAGAATAATGCCAGCTGCTTCTCTTCCTCTCATTGTCAACACTGAATAAAAGGGCAAAACGACAGACAGCAGTGATACTCCAGAAGCCTCAGAAACTGACAAACAGGCAAACAGAAGGGTCAAGGTGCCTAGCAGAGAAAGGACGGAGCACAAAGAAACTAGGTGAAGCAGCAAGGGCGTAGCCAACCATGGCTATGTTAAGAATGACATTGGCATTGCAACGTGAGAGCGATTTCAGGTGAAACCTTCGATAATACAGTAACCCCACATATGTGTAAACTTTAATTATTGTCCACTCTTTAAAAAATGTGGCCAGGCATGACTTTGAGAATATGGGATGAAAATGCTTTCTAACCCTCTACAGAGTAATTTCCCCTTATCTATGGGAGGATACTTTCCAAGACCGCCAGTGGAGTCCTGACACTGTGGAGAGTAAACAACCCTATATAACTACATTTTTTCTTATACTTACACACCTATAATAGAGTTTAATTTATAAATAATGCAAACTAAGAAATGAACAGCAATAACTCAAAAAATAGAATTATAGTGTATAAATTCTCTCTCTTGCTAGTATTTTTGGACTGCATTTGACAAGGACTAACTAGAACCATAGCTAAGGACTACTATATAGTGAATAAGAATGACTGTATATTTATTTTTTGATTAATATTCTCTATAAAATTTACCTTTCCTACAGCAAAGGGAAATTGCCATATTCAAATAAAATCTGCAGTAATCTTATTTCTTATTTCTTAGGGACATTTTTTTTTTTTTACACAAGGATAAGCTGTTTTGTGACTATGGGACTCAAAACAGAATTTAGATCCATTGATGAGTAATATAATACACCACATATAAGAGTAAAAGTTAAATAGTCAATTCCCATAATTATTAATAAAGGTGTAATCAATTCCTAAATATATCTGGACCTGAAAGTATTTTGATATAAAATAAAAATATAAAATATCTATTTTAAATTCTCGATAATACCATGTGTGGCATATGGTACTATGGCTTTTAAGCATATTTGCCCAATTACATCATTTTTATTCATTGCTCAATATGTTTAAGAATTTTTTAAAGCTAATAATCATTGACCCAGGCCCAGAATAAGAACAGCAATGGTAATCAGAACAAACAATTACTGCGTTCTCATTATGTGCTAGACACAGTGCCAAGTATTTTAGAGCATTGGCTCCATTAAATTTGCATTCTTACAAATGACACTAATTGAGTTAATTTCTATAATAGCTTAATTTAAAAAAGCAAAATAAAACAAACATATGCTAAGAATATGAGAGACTAATCAAATAGTTTAGAGTAAAATAATAATATATTAAAAACAAATACCTCTTTCAGTATTACACAAAATATTTTCAGATGAGTCTCAGTAACAAAATCATCCAGTCAGCCAATACTGTAGATACATATATGTGAATACATAGATAGGCATGAAGAAAAGATTGTTCAGAGGGCCGAAGAAGCATGATGTTGACAATAGATTATCTACTAGCTATGATCATAGAGACTGTTTCCAGTGTGTTCTGATTTATTGGTTATAAATTAATAGATATAAACTGCCTCAGGTATATAATTTCAGTTCTTGATTATTAAGATTACTTATTGTGAACACATATTTTCTGAATACACTGGTTTTCTTGTTAGAAGTTTAAATAGTCTGATGAACAAAGTAAACCTATCTTTTGGGAAATGCCGTTATGTCAAATACTCTTCAAAATTTGGATAAAGAAAGATAATTCATCCTCACATTGTGTTCCTGCAGCAAGTTGTAATGAGTTTTTACATTATATAAAACATTTAATAGTAAATACACAAGATTCTAAATTATTAAATTATTAAGCTATTCACTTAAAAGATACATATGTCATAAGTATTACACACACACACGCACACACAATCAGAAAATACTAGGCAATTTGTCTTTCTGTAGTATGAGAATGACAGAGGAACATTCCATTGAAGATACATATAGCATAAAAAAAATTTAGGTAATAAATTGAAATCAGGCAGCTTTGATTTTTAGCTTGTAATATAGACAAAATAGGACTTATGGTTTCTATAAGCCTGTGAATTCGATGACATACAGATCATGTATCATCTTGTTAGATAACCAGTCCCAGCAATTGTGCAAAAATGACAATGCATTATAAACTGATCTACTTAATGGCATTGAAGAGTATTATTTTTAAAAATATAGCCTTCAGATATGGTAATTACAAGGCAAATCATTTCAACATGTTCTGGGTCAACAGATGAAAAGATTTATAGAACAAGTCACTATCAGATGTAGCAATGTCATTGACCAAACTGAAAGCATGTATATTAGAATTTATGATAAATAATAAAAGCTCATAAAATAATAAATACCTATCCAGTCTGGTTAACCTTGACATGTCATGATTACACTAAGTAAATTTTATTTCACCGTAAGTTTACTTACATATGTATATATAAATGCCCACAACAAATATTAAATTGCTGCAGATTTCCAAAATACATGTTTATTCTAATTTTTTTTATTATAGCCCCTCTACTGAGTAATATTCAGTGAATGTTTAAAAAAATACTACTTTTCATCTGTTATACATTTCATTTCCCCAGAAATGTTTGTTTTACTGGCTCTGTCTACAGAATCATCATATAATGACCGGGAATAAAACATCCTACTGGCTATGCTACTCAGTTTATCTTAAATTATAGATTTCCCTTATCCCTAATAATTATTATTACTCCTATTTGTCAAGTGTAAAAAAATACATTAATCTAATGACTTCTGTACCTATATCACAGTCTTATGTGTAAAATCAATTATTAATTGTTAACCATTACATTTTATATTAAGTCTGCCCATAAGATATGCTATTTACTTTCTAGTAAATCTTTATAATCTCTCTAAACTAAATGAGATTCTATTTAAACGATCTGATTAAATTATGCAACTCATCTCTTGAAGCATTGTCTCCATTCTTTAAATATAGGAAATAAATGAAGAGTAGAGAGGTTCATTAATTATTCTTCAGTGCCAGAATATGTTTATTTCCAAAGTTTGCCATGTCATGTTCAAACTGCTTTTATATGTTCATCAGTGATGCTTTAACCTACTTAAGATCTTTTCTTCTACTTCTAAAATATAGGCATGTTAATTTCTACTGATGTATACCTTAAACTTATGTAATATTGAAATATGATATTTCAATTAAATGATAATATAATAAGTTATACTGTTTAACTAATTGGAGTACTAGTCAAATGTCAAAATTATTAATTCTTGACACTTCCCACAGCACTGACTGACATAGAGGAGGGTATTCTTCTTTTTTTTTTTTTTATAGATTTTATTTATTTATGGATACAAAACTGGGGTACAGGCCAGAGGTGCAGGGATGGTGAGAGGATTCACCACACACAGAGCGGGGAGCAGAACAGGCAGATAGACTAAATACACTGCTGAGGGGAGCAGCGGGCGGGTCAGGAGAGGTCTGCCGCGCCATGTGGTCACCTCCAGGGCAGGCGGGGATCGAACTCATGCGGCAGTGGCTTTAGCTTCCAGAGAGGGACAAGGGTATTATTCTTAATGAAATAAGTCAGAAAGAGAAAGAGAAGCACTGCATGACTTCACTCATATGTAGAACACAGAGAAAAAGACAAAATAAATGAACTAAATAAAACAAAAAATATCTTTTGGGCTTTAAGACCAAAATAGCAGAAAGTAAGGGAGGCTGTGAATCAGGAAAAATGGGCCAATTGTATCATAAAGGAGATATTTGAATTTTAATTGGTGAAATGATGTTTAATATACAGATATTATCTTTAATGATACCATCTGAAACATTAAATTTAATGTAACTTCAATAAAAATAAAATAAAATTTATTCTAAGTAATTAAAAATTAGAATAGTTTTTATGATTTATATTTATTTCAAATGACTAACTATATTTTGCTGTACATCTATATATTTGTTATATGAATTATACACATTGTGTATTTTATAATGATTATTAATTGATACAATCATATATTTATATAATTGTTTATTCAAAGAAAATAATTGTTTAATTTAATCCATTTAAACTGTTTTAAAAATATATTTTATTTAATTTTAGGTTGTATAGTCAACCATTATTAATTTTTGAAGTTAATTCTAATATAAGAATTGCTGAAATAGGCCAATATTTCCAAATGTAGTATTTTCTATGACAGTGGAAATAAATATAAGATGTATATATTATAATATATTCAGGCATTATGTTGCAATATATTTGCAAGATTTTGGAATAATCATATTCTCTATTAATCCCAAGCAACAGATGATGTAATCTGTACTCAATATTGAATACTGCCAATAGTTTAAAAAACTTTCAATAACAGCCCATCTTCACACTGCTTTTCTTCTACCTGAATCCTGGAGATACATTATTATCATCTCGGAATTCACTCCCTTTACAATGGAAATCTATCAAATGTTTATGCCATGTGCAAGAAATTTTCAAATTAATAACCTCCTATTATCTTACACTTTTTTTTTTTTTTTTAGATTTTATTTGCTTATGTATATAGATGGAATACAGGCCAGAGGTACAGGGGCAGCAAGAAGATTCACCAGAGACCGCTGGCGGCAGAACAAGCAGATTGACAAAAATACCCTGCTGAGAGGAGCAGAGGGCCAGACGGGAGAGGTCTGCCGCGCCATGTGGATCACCTTGGTGGTGAGGCTTGAACTGCACTGAAGCGGCCACAGCTTGGCCTAGCTTCCCAGTGCAGCGTTCCAAACTGCTGGCCACCAGGGAGGGCCTGTCTCACACATCTGTGATCATTATCTTCTTCCTGATAGCATCATACCCCTTGTTGACCATTTCTACTTCTTGTATTTAAATCCTCCCCGCAAACCGCCCCAGTAAATCTTACTTACCAAACTCTTTTCTTAAATAACTGTAAAGCATATTATTTTTTAAAGTATATTTTGTAGCTTGCTTTGTCACATGAGAAAATATCCAAAAGCTTATGTTGTTGCCCAAGTTTGGCACTGTAACTCAAGGTTTAGAGAAGAAGCAAATCATAAACTCCTTAGCCATATACTGTTTTATATGACTTGCTCTCTCAAGAGTATAAATTGCTGGGAAATGTATTGTAAGGAAAAATATGACTGATACTACTATGAGTACTCTATTATGTCGGAAATAGCTGGATGATTACACTGAAGCTTTTGCTAAACAAAGTAACTCTGTGTTGAGTCATTTAGTCCAAAAGTTGTAAATCTTTCCCATTTTTATTGCTATGGAATTCAGTATTTCTCTACATTTTTCAAAATGAAAATAGAAGAAAAGCATATTATAGAATAATTTTTGAATTGTAAGAATAATATGAATTGATCCTTATAAGGAGGAAATAGTATATAACTTGCTCTTATTCTGTGACAAATGTGGATTCTACAAAATTTTGGTCCTTTATTTAAAATATTTTTATTTTTAAATTAAAGGAATAATGCATATTCAAGCCAGTTGATTCATTTTTAAAATGTGAAACAAAATAGTGATATTTTATACTTGGGTATATAATAAATAGACATTCAAATTATCTCCCCTCTCTCCACCTATTTATAACCTCTACCTGTATGTATTACTTGCTTTGGAATCTTGAACTTTTTACAATTGTGTATTCTCTAGACTTTTTAAAATGTTTTTGTTGATATTTCTGGATGGAATATTTATTATTTTTAAAAAATAAGCATGGGTGTAAGAGGTAATTTATGCCTACTACCACTGTATTTTTTTTTTTTTGTATCTTCAGAAAAATCCATAGCAAGATAGTGTTTATTCTCTATTTTTGATTAGAAAACTAACACAGAGATTACATAAAAATGCCAAATCACAAGAAAATTATATGGTAGAAGAATGATTTTAACGCACATCTTACTCCAAAGTTCAAGCCCTTTTATTATAGTTATCTTTTTTTAAGATACATTGTATCAGATCTCTACAAAAAGCAAAAGAGAACTCTGAATTATTGGTCAATAACTTATTAATGTGAGTGATTACTAAATATCAGGGATACAAATCAAAACCACATTGAAATAGTATTTCATATCTGTTAGAAGGGCTGTTATAAAAATAAAAATATAAATAAAATGTTGGAGAGGACATGAAGAAACGATCTTAGTGCCTCCATGGAAACTATTATGGATATTCTTCAAGAATGAACTATACTCTTGTCATATGAATCTGCAATTCTACTTATGCCACATATTTAAATTGAGATCAAAAAGATATCTGCATTCAAATGTTCATTGTAGCATTATTCAGGAAAGTCAAACTATAAAAACAACCCAAATTATCTGCAACAAATAGTGGATAGAATAGATGTGTTTTTGTGTGTTTATGTGTCCAATACATACGGGTCTTTCTGGCAGAATCTTCCACAAAAAGAGAGGAAATGTCTTCATCCACACCTGCTTCATTCCTAGCAATACAAGTGTATGCTCCTGTATCTTCATAGCGCACATTGCTTATGTGAACTTCACTGCCATTTGCTGAAAACAGAAGGCAAATGCAACTTGTAAACTACAATTTCAGTTTTGGTACAGTGCTTTCTGATTACACAGTCAAACAGTTCTCTTAGCTTGTCCTAATTAAACCGTTTCCCTTCCTACTTTCATGATTTGGAGGAATGCCAAATTATTCTAAAAGCATTCATGCGTTTCATAAACTCTGTTGTCACTCTATTACAAAGATTGCAATACTCTATGTCAAAAATATACTATTAATCTATATTTATTTCCTATTTCCCACATTGCATAAGAATTATTTCATATTTATAACTGTAATTTAACATACAATTATTTCTAATGATCAGAATCTATTTTGTTGTAAACTTTTGTAAAAGTTTTAAATAATAACAATAGGATTCATTTATAAGACAGTAAATATGAAAAATGAATTGTAAAAAGAAATTAAATGAGCTACTTCTTGCAGGTACAATATATTGGTTTTTACCGAGTTTATATTAATATAGTTGGAGTTATTATGGAAAAAGGACATTAAAATAATGCCATATGATTTGAATGTCAGAATACAAAGAAAAAAATATTTTTTCTGTCTTAAAAAGATTTTCAGTTTTGCCAGTTGTATAAGTGGCAAAGTAAAAACAATGCTATGCTAAAATATTAAATTTTAAATACTAGATTATGCAATACTAAACAATATCATGGAAATTTATATGGTAAATGTATGCATAACCAAATTACACAAAGTTTTAAACCTTGTAAAATAATAATTTAAATTAACCCTTGACTAAGAGTTTTATTCCACAATGTGGGAGCCAGGGTATAGTTAGCTGTTGTCTACATGATGGTCACAAAACAAATGCTTTCCCATAGATATTATCTTAAGTGTCCCAGATAATGCTTAATTAGCAAATGAGGGATATGAAACTCATACTATGATTTGCACAAGGGTATCATGAGCTTCCAGAATTGACTTTTGGTTACAAGGCATCTACTTAAAAGAGGGTGAACTTCAGCATATATCGCTCAGGTAATTTGACTTACATAGAAATACTAGATGAACATCTAATGAAGTAATGAAGAATAACATATCTATAGTGTTGGGTAACATGTAAACACATGTACAGCATGGGATTTCACATACCTATGTATATATAAGTTATATCCCCTACTCAAGATTTACTATCTGTCAATGTCTATCAAAACTTGACCTACTTTTACTTGTAAAAATGACAATACCTAGGCCCTCCCTGGTGGCGCAGCGGGTAAAAGCACTGCACTGAGAAGCTAAAGCCACTTCCGCATGAGTACGATTCCCGCCTGCCCCGGAGGAGACCACATGGCGTGGCAGACCTCTCCTGACCCGCCCGCTGCTGCCCTCAGCAGTGTACTTCGTCGATCTGCCTGTTCTGCTCCCCACTCTGTCTCTGGTGAATCCTCTCACCCTCCGCATCTCTGGCCTGTACCCCAGTTCTATATGAATAAATAAATAAATCTTTAAAAAAAAATGACAATACCTATTTGAAGAAAATGCTCTTTTGGTGTTTGGTATAGAATATAATCAACTTCTGAAATTTGTTCTACTAAATATTTCAAATATAAGTTAAAGTTCAAATATGTTCATATAATAAGGTTTGTTACTATTAAATTGGCAATATATGACAAGATCAAAATCTAATTAGATCAATCTTTAATTTCTGTTATTCATAGCAACTTACTTCTTCATATATTGCAGGTACCAAGATAAAATGAGTAGATGTAAGATGTAACTTTATTGAGGCTACATACATTGCTGTAGAGTTTTCCAGGATTTAGACATTAAAGGTCAAAAATACCATGTCCGATTTTTTTTCACCTTGTTTAAAAATAAGTAAGAAAATCTTTCGAAAATTATTTAAACATTACTTACAAATGCATACTGATCATAGCTATTCACAATAAAAGTAGAGTAATGAAATCATATAAACATTAAGTATAGTTATTTCTAAAGTATGAGTTGAATGAGCCTAAAAGCATGGAGTAAGGCAGACAGTGGGCTACTGTGGAGAACTACCGGTGTTCTGGTGGTGAGTGTGCTATGGTAACATACATCTGAACAGGTGTGACTGTATATTTCTAAATCATATATAGTGTTGTAAGCCAGTATCATATCAATTTTAAAAAAAGGAATATTCACCAAGAAATGGGTCATCAAATTGCATGTGTTCTGCTTGATAATGTAAATAAAATTCACAGATTTTTTCACTCACAACAATGTTTTTGCATTATTTAAAAATGTTAAAAATTACATTTTTAACATTACAAAAATGCTATTTATTTTCATTCACCACATCTTGCATTTCTTATATTTTGTATTTTTGATTTATGTCCACAAATTGGAGTATTAGAATATGCAGGCTATTTTGCATATTATAATGCATTTTAAGAAACTATAAACATGAAATATTTACTGAAGTTCTTTTTCCTGTTTTAATTTGCAATGTTACTAAATATCTATATTATTAACAACTGTAATACATTTTTTGTTGTAATTTAAGCATTTAACTCACTCTTCAGAAATGCATTCTGTGACAAGATGTAAATCCTTCTCATCAGTATATCTGTTATAATTCATTGGAAGTATTTAATATTTATAGTTTAATATTTTGTATACCACTAAAATAAACACATTATCAATCATATGATAAGACTATTATTTAAAACCTTAAAATATAAAACAAATACATTTAAATATAATGTTTTAGGTACAAATATATATTTTTTTCATTTATATGATATTTTATTGTCACCGATTCATATTCTCCATTACAGGATTTTTTTTTCAAATCCTGTAAAATGTATTGCAAATGTTAGCCTAAAATCCCTTTATATTAATTTAAGAGAAAAAATGCAAATTAAAAACACCTTGAAGTGTAAGTTGTTTGGACAGTTTTGGTGTAATATCAATTCCATTCTTCAGCCATCCAAGCTGAGGGTTTGGGATGCCTTCTGCATGACACCTGAGACTTGCAGTTACCCCAGGTTCTCTCGCCTGGCTTTCTGGATACACCCGAATTACTGGAGGAACTGAAAAAGGAAATGGAAAAGAAATAAGTGAGTAATTCATATTCACCATTTGATTTTTTTCAAAACTAGCAAATGTGATATGAAAAATATATAAATTTTGTATTATTCTAATGATATATATTTCTACAAGTATTTATAAAATATCTTTATAACAGATTTATTTATTAAAAGATTATTTATAAAAAGATTTATTTATAAAATATGTTATTTTTTATTTATAAAAAGGAAATGTTGGCACTGAAAATAGTTAGGACATCTTATTTCAGAAATTAACAAAGTCCTCCAAGTATAATAGACACATGTAAAAATAAATACAGAAACCTTTTTAAGGAGGCTCTCCGTTGTCACATATTGAAAAACATAATGATAAAATAGCAATTGAAAAGATTTTAAGGAATTAATTTAGACTATGAATTTAGGTATATGTAAACTAAATGAATATTGTAATAGGAGGGAATTCTATTTCTTTAATTACAGCATTTTAAGAAATTAGTGAAATTCCATTAACAGCAGCATTCAAAAATAAAATATGATGGAATAGATTTTGCCAAAGAATACAGAAAAGTGTGTTGAAAGAATTTAAGGAAAATCTAAATAAATGGAAAGATGTCATGTATTCAAAAATTGAAAGAATTAGTAAGATAATAAGAATTGGTGACAATTATTGGTAAAATATTCCAGAATTAGCCTATATATACAACCTAATCCCTATGAATACTCCAACTGTGCTTTTTTTGTTTCTTTGTTTGTAAAAATGAGGGAGTCTACCTTCAATTTCATGTGGAATTAACAGTGATATCAAATAACCAAAGCTATCATGGAAAAACTCTCACTGAATGTCCCATACATCCTGGTTTCCACACATATTACAAAGTTAATATAAACAAAATAATGATATACTTGCATAAGGAAAAAGATACAAATCTATACACTATAGATATAAGTGTAGAAGTAAACAATATATAGTAGGTCAATACATTTTCACCACAGCATCAAGAAATCATTTTTCTTCAGGACTGATACTGGACTGACCAGATATACATACACATGTAAGGCAATAAACCTGTACTTTTACCGATACCATATATAAAAATTAATTCAAGGTAAACTGAATATATATATATATATATATATATATATATATATATGTATATGCTAAAACAATAAAACTCTTAGGAAAAATACAGAGAAAGTCTTCTTGGCCTTGTATCTGACTTTGTTTGTTAAACAAGTTCTCAAATAGCATGCAAAAAATAGATAAATTATATTTCACTAAATTAAAAATTTTGGTACACTAAGGACACATTCAAGGTAATGAAAATATAACTGACAAAACAGAAAAAAATATACATCTAGTAGGAAACTAATATCCAACATATATAATAAACTGTTAAATTCAGCAGCTTAAAGACAATAACCCTTCTTCACAGCAAAATAAACTAAAAATTGAAAAGGTAACCTACAGAATAGATAAATAAATAAATAAACAAATAAAGAAAGATATGTGTGTGTGCGAACCACATATATCTTAAGGAACTATAGTCAAAATATTCAAGGAACTATTACAACTTAAAAGAAAAAACAATTAAAAATTGAGCTAAGATCCCACAAAGCCATTTTTCCAAAGACATACAATGCCAAATGGTACACAACAAGGAGCTCACTATCCTGGAAGATCAGGAAATGCAAATCAAAAGCACAATGAGCTATCCCATCACATCTTTCATGATGTCAGTTTTCAAAGGAGAACAGAAAATACACACTGACATGGATGTAAAAGGGAACTCTTTACACTGGTAGTAGAAATATAAACTAAAACTGTCAGTATGGAAACAATATGAAGGTAACTCATGACATTCAAATGGAACTTTTCAAGTCAATAAATGGCCTCTTTCTATTTAATTAAGCTTTGATGTCTATTCATTTTCAACTTTAGCTTCAGTTTTCTCACCAGTGAAGATGAGAATTGATTCATGTCTCCTATTTTATTATTGACATGTGATTCTTCTAGTGATAGAAAATATCATCAACACCAGCACCATGAGTATAGTAATATACTCACAAATATGTAGAAGGTCTCCACTAAGACCTCACTATTGTGTTCTTTTAAAGATGGATAACAGGAAAGTTTAACAGCTTTTACAGGTCAAAATGAAAAATCACTGCCAATAAATATTCAATAAAAAAAAGTATAACTTGCCAGAACTTAAAGTCAAAGCAAAGATCATTGATCTCTGTAGCATTTTAGGAGTAGCCTAAAATTGAGACAATAGAATATATTCAGAAATTACTTTGAAATGAAACACATCAATCAATTTAATAATTATAATAATATCAACATCATTCATATTTAAAAATACAGCTACTATGGGTGACCTATATATTGTTACTGATAATTTACAAAGAATGTTTTCAAGTAAGATGTCCAACAGAATCCTGAAATGCTATTTCAACTTTATTGATATAATTGTGATTGCAGTGAAATGAAAACAATGAACAGTACATTTCATCATATTGGATTTTAATACCCAATAGATAATATATACTATGGAAAACTAATGATACACATTTCGTACTGAGTATATTGACATCAAGTGATGGCCTGAAAAATATCTAATTCACATAGAATTAAAGGGTAAATGATTGGCATAACAACTATTTAATGTAAGTGATAAACTACACATTTAACAGGAGGTTATTTTTCCTGGGATATATATTATGAAATACAAATTAGGATTGATGGCGGCCTAAATTAAAAAATCAATAATTCTCCAGAGAACATTTTAAGTCATTTGGTACAGTCATTTTTAGTTAAGAAGTGCACTCTATGAACTTGTCTTTCCTTGGGTTTACTATTAGCAGTACATAAAAAAAAAAAAGAAAGAAAAAGAAAAATACTGATAAAGACACTAAGAGTTTGTATGTTGACCAATCCAATCTGTGTCCACTGCCACACAAATCTTTAATACTTCTAAATTTCTTACAGAAAGTTAGAAATGAAGATGTGTTTGTAACACTAAAATATTAAACTTAGAAATATCAAAAAAAGTTGATAAGCAAAATACACTACTGCATAATTACTCTCATTACATTTTCTCATATATTTCTTTCCAGAAATGTTGGATCTGTATGGAATTATTTGTAAAACCTCATCAGTTCAAAACCAGGAAACGTTCAGTAATAAGTTTAAATAGGCATAAAATTGGATAAAGGTCAACAGGCATATTTCTGAAATGTTCATAATACATTTATTGCATTGGAATAAATCAATACTTATTTTGGTATTTGGAAGGGTCAAATAGGATTCTTCTAATCTAATTTCCTTGCTGGTAGAATACCAGAAATTGGAATAGAATGGGAAAACGGTAGCTTTCTGTAATGCTGGATGTAGTCTTTTCTCCTTTCAGCATGCCCGTCCTGTGTTGTCTATAGAACTTTGCACTAGCTGAATGTCTGAGAACAGCCTAAGCTGGACTATTTGAAAGCTTGATTTTAGAGCCAGGTGGCAGATACCATTGACCCAAAACAATGACTCCATCCTAACTGAAAACAAAAATAAATTTAAGGTAAATCCTCAGGTCAGTAGTATGTAAGAAACTAAGAAACTAACCACTGTTTTTTGTTGTTGTTGTTGTTGTTGTTTTTTTCCTTTTCTTAATGTTATTGTCTTGTATTCTTTGGAAGGATTTTATCACTGCCTTGCCACAAATTATTCACACAGCTGCAACTGTTAGAAAAGGTTCTAAGAAAGCTTGAGGGTAAGAATATAAATGTCTCTGAAGTAGTGCTGACTCACAGCGGCATCTGGATTGTTCTGTTTGTATTATGCCTTCCTTTGTCATTAAAGCAACTTTCCTATGAAAAATTACAGACAGGGTTTAATAAATATTTTAAAATGCTACTAAGCCTGTCCAGTGCCTTTTGTCTCTGACATTATTAAAACCATCACTTTCTCTTTAACTTTGTCCCAAAGCAGTCTTTTTATATTCATGACTTTCACACTGCCTCTTGTCAATATTACAAAACTCTGATCACATTATTGCAGCCTTCATAAAAGTGTAAAGGATGCAACAAATGTTGGAGGCAAAATATAAATTAGCAGCAACATACTCACGGTCATAAACTTTTGTGATTTTTTTTTTTTAATTAGGTCTTCTATTTATCCTGTGGTAGAGTAACAAATAACAACTTTTTAGGTTATTTTGAAAGAGACAGCTGTTCATCCTAGTTTAATTAACTCAGATCTATTCTGTTAATCCTCAAAATAGTGGTTTCTTTAATCCCCACTTTCATAGTTCAAAAGCCACCATTTTTAGAAATGCTCACAGAAACACACACACACACACACACAAAAACATAACAAAAACACTTCAACATAATAACACATGTGTTCCTAAATCAGTGAAATAAGAATTAATGAACATTTGAAGTGCAGCCCATGATGTATACTGTTCTTTTTGTTTGATTTTACTTACTGTGATTTAATATGTACTTAATTTATCAGGAGAGTCAAAGGTACTTATTTGAAGAAGGGACTATGCAATGACTCTACTCAAACTGAAAATGTGTGTGTGTGTGTGCACGCGTACACTCATGTGTTTTTTTTTTTTTTTAAAGATTTATTTATTTGTACATACAGAACTGGGGTACAGGCCAGAGGCTCAGGGGTGGCGAGAGGCTTCACCAGAGACAGAGTGGGGAGCAGAACAGGCAGATCAACGAAGTACACTGCTGAGGGGAGCAGCGGGCGGGCCAGGAGAGGTCTGCCACGCCATGTGGTCACCTCCAGGGCAGGCGGGAATCGAACTCATGCGGAAGTGGCTTTAGCTTCTTAGTGCTGTGCTTTAACCCGCTGCGCCACCAGGGCGGGCCCACTCATGTGTTTTAATGATTTATTTATTCACACAAACAAGAGCTGGGCTGTAGGGCCAGATGTATGGGGGAGGGAGGGTAGCATGTAAGAAGATACACCAGAGACAGAATGGGGAGCAGAACAGGCA